CATTTACAAAACAAGACATCTGAGATAAAGTGATTTTGATGAAACATTCTGACTTGTAGCTCAGACTGCCGTGTTTTTTCTGATAGAAGTGAAAAACCACACATAGTTGGTTCAAGGAAAGCGGAAAATCAGTCAGTTGTTCACGTTTTACAGCCTTTCAAACACACCTGCAGGTTTTTGAGGTTAAACACACGAATCAAAAATTAAAAACACAACACAAATTAGAATTTTCTTGAACAGAATACGACAGAAGTCCCGACAGGATAAACAGAGTATTTATGCTACGTGACGACTGACACGTTTCACTTCTTGTTTTTTATAGAACCTGATCGGTGCAGACGGTTTGTTTCTGGTGAGTTTATGAAGGAGACGTGTAGAACAGAGCGCTGTTGATAAAACATCCCGATTACAGGTTTAGATTTGCTGAAGTTTTCTGACTGAACATCACAGACAAGTAGTTTAAGAACCTTTTTCACAGTTTGTATTCATGAAAAACTGTGATTTTGCTGATTTTTAAAAAAAATAAAATGCCTTCTAGACACAGCAGCAGGTTTCGGGGCTCAGAGACTCAACTTCAGATTAACAAACACAGATTTTAAATCACTTTCACCCACTGATGCTCCTGACTCTCTCTCCAACACGCTCCACACTAAAGACGTTGAACGACAGAATGAAAAGGTAAGAGCTTCTCTACCTGGTGATATTTCTTTAGGATGTTGTGCATCTCAGCGATGTCCTCACTGGACACGGTTTTGATTACGAAGCGGTGGTCGTAGCTGGACAGGAAGCGGTTGCCGAAGCGACCCTGGGAGTCGCTGTTGAGCGGGGCGCTCCGGGTCAGAGAGTTCTGACGGAGAAAAGACATTCATACTTCAAAAGCAGAAACTTCAAACTCCCTCCAGAGCTGAAGGGAATTCTCATTTCATTTCATTTCATCCCGCCAAGTGGATCTTTTTAGCTGCGAGCGACTCACCTGGTAGTCCTGGTCGTCGATGCAGAACCTCTCCCTCAGGTTCCTGAACACCATGGGACAGTACTCTTTGAACTTAAAGCGACTAGGCAGGTTTTCTCTGAACACAAACAGAACGCACAGAGTCAGAACAACACCAGCGAAAAGGAGGAACAGAGAAGACTGACTGACTTCAGCCAGAAATGTGTTTGTTTTCTTCATCTCTGCTGTTTGGATGCTGATCAGACGACAACACGATGCAGAGTTGACATTTAAACAACAGTAAACAGCGAAATGAATCCTTTACCTCGTTTGAATCGGACTGTTTTTACATTTCTAAATCTCATAATCGCACGTAGGAAATCGGAGAGTTTTCAGATTGTTGTTTGGTTTGTCATCAGCAGTTTCTTCGACTGGACAGAATAAACATGTGCTTTGAAAATATTCTGCAAATGTTTGTCCCCAGAGTCAAAACAGATTCAGGCAACAACAACAACAACAAAAATAAATAAATCAAAGCTTTGAAATTCGCTGCCTCGCTCTCCTGAAAATGATCCGAGCTGGTTTTAAAGGCTCCAGAAAACAGAACTCCTGGTCAGTTTGCTTTGAAATCATGTTTTGGAAATTGTTTTGACTATTACTGCAGATGAACCGACATCGTGCTGCTCTCTTGAACAACAGATTTATTTCTCTTACCTCATTAAAGAGCCCATTTAATTAACATTTCACAGGGTCATAATTGAATTTATAGGGCTCTACTGGAACCTGTTCACACGCTTTAACGCTCAAAAACATGTTATTTTTTTGACTGAAATGAAGTTCAGCTCCATCTGCTCTGATTGGTCAGCTGGCCCAGGTAGCTTTAACGAGCAGCCCCAGATCTCTGAGTATGATTTAAGAGACGTGGCTCCCGCAGAAGAGGCTCTAATGAGGAAATAATGTCCGACTGTGAGGCAGCTGCTCGCTCTTTGTTTGAGGGCCGACGCTGCTCGACTGGAGTTATGCAAATGTGTTAAATTCTGAGGTAGATGGAAGAAAACGCTGGACTTCAAATGAGGCGTTTCAGGCAGGTAGCGTTCTGGTGGGGGAATAGCTGCCTTGGGTGAGGATTTGGGGCTTTGTGAGGAACACACTAAAGGAAGCATCACATAGGCTCTGAAGGAAGTAATAATAAAAACGTCACATCAGCAGCTGTAAACGTGGTCTGGCAGGTCTCGAAGCATTAAAGAGAGCAAAGCGTCTGCACCCAAACTGCAGCCGCATCACTCAGAACAAATGAGAAAATAAACGACGCTAAGATTTTACTGGAGGTTGACAAATGCTGCTAAACGTAACGCAGCCCAGAGGCTAAAACGCTAACCTTTGCATTTTATGCAGCGGACCAGAGGGACCCGCTCCTCTAGCTGTCTCGTCCTAAAGAAAACACCGGCGGTTCTACTCCGCTACTTTCACCACGAGGACGATTTGAAATGCAAAGCGGCTCAGTTAGGCGTCCGGCGGAGCTTTGACAGCAACCTGTGCGAGTGTAACCCGAGCCTGCAGGAATATGCACGCCGTCTCGTTACGGGTTCACTCTGAATACAGCCAATATCCGGTTGTTTGAAGGTCCGCCGCGGGGCTTTAAGCGTGCCGGTGGACCCATCGGTCGATATGCTCATCTGATTAAAGCCTCGCCGGCCGGACGATGAGGAGAAAAGCGCTCCATCAACACACTTCTGGGACCAAGCTGGTGTTTTTGGTGGCAGGAGGAAACAACAGCCTGCTGAATTTTTACAGCTTTGAACTCGGTGGCTGTATATTGTTAAAAAAAGTCGAGTGTGTTGGGCGCTGCTGTAGCTCACGTGGTTGAGCTGGCGACCCATGTAGAGGGGCTGTAGTCCCCGATGAGGAGGTCATGAGTTTGAATCGTGCTCATGGCCCTTTTCCGCAGATTCTTCTCCACAACTTTCCTGTCTCTCTCTCTAACTGCACTTTCAAATAAAGGCAAAAATGCCAAAAATATAACTTGAAAAAAAAGTCGAGTGTAAACTGTTTGTGTCTCACAGCTCGACGTGTCACATCGTCTAAAAACAGCAGCGAACTCGTCTGCGTTTTATTCCTCAGCTGCATCACCAGCTGATGAATATGAGCAGCTCCCCAGTCTCGTCTCATCAATTTAGCATAAAACAAGCAGCTTCCACTGACTTAATATGCTGCAAACACCAGCTTTTTAAGTTGATTTAGAACATATTTATGCTAATAAGGCTGCCAGTAAAGTCCCTCAGTGCACAAATAATGTTGTGATTTATTTTCCTCCTGTAACAGATCAATTAGTCCACCGGGATCTTTTTTGTTTTCAGTCTTGGTCTGCTTTTGAACTTGTGAAGGGATCTGGGAAGTGCACAACCTGTAATTTCTGACCATATAAACAGTCATATCCTGCTGTGTTATCATACACTTTGAGAGTTGGAGCAAAGATATACAACCATCATTTTTATGAATAAACCCATCAATCATGGCGGCAGCGGCAGAAGGTGTTTTGAACTCCGGCGGAGGTTCGACCCTCCGTGTTTACGCTCGGGATTACAGATTTTGCCTTTGACAGACTGCAGTGACGGTGCACGGGCTGTTGTACCTACTTGTTAAATAGGTGGTTGTCCACTTTGATCTTACTGTAGGCTTTAAAGTCATCTGGCATCAGCATAACTGGTACAGGCACATTACTTAACTCATTAATCTGCAGGAGAGAAGCGAGAAAAAGAGAGAAAGATGAGAAAAGAGCCACGAAGAAAAGTGCAAACAGCTGATCTTCACACAAACAGATTGCACTTTTTTTTCTTTTTTTTTAAAGGAATAACAGAAATCAAAGGAGCAATATTGGCTTTTGCAATTACAGGCTTAAAACAGACTCCTACGCAAAGTTCTCCTGTTGTGCAATCAAACAGATCTGTGCTTTAAACATCATAACATAAAAGCATAACGCTGAGAAAGAAAAAAATATGTACAAGAATTTTCATTTTGCCCTGAAACGCTGTGTGTTAAATCACAGAGCGAAGCTGCGACTACGGCTCGGTGTTTTAAAGCTGCACACATTGTCAGTTTTGTGTGACACATTCAGCCAAATCTCTGAGTGTTTACCAGCACCAATGATTAACTCTGGGACCAAAGAACACGCAGACAGTGATTCTTGCTGCTGCTGCTGCTGAGCCCCCAGACACTGATCTTATCTGCTGAAACGCATCCAGAGCAACAGCTCACTCTGATGAAGTCCACAAAAAAAATCTCCACGCAGATTACTTTGATCGCTGAAAACAGGCAGCAAAGCGACAGAATGCTGCTGTTGTATAAATACAGACTCTCCCCATGCTGAGAGCAAACTGTTAACTGCTGTGGAGTCGAAAGCCAAACTGAACTTAATGATTTAAGCTTTTTTCCTCTAGATTCATGACATAAAGAGAGAAAGCTGCTAAAGACACTGAAAATAGCTTCAATTTCAACACACATTTTGAGCATAGTTTCCAAACTGGATTTTCAACAACTTAACAATCCAGTCTGGTGGCTTCCTGCAGCCTGGGGGGCTGACGTGAATTCAGAGTGGAATTAGATTCATCACAAAGTGTGGACCAGCAGAGTCCTGAAAAGTGGTCGGTGACGGAGCATCACACTCGCTCAACTTGAACTGGTGGTGAATCAGTGGGTGGTTGTTTAGTTGGGGATTAACAGCATCAAACAGGTGGTGTAGAACATCACCCAAACACCGGCCGACACTGTGCCGAGGTGAAATCCTCCAGCACGGCAGCGAGGGCACGATTAAAAATGCATACAACTTCTGACTGGAAGAAGAAGAAGAAGGCTTTGATGATAAGTCTGTTTGATGTCTTGAATCGGCTTCCCGCCCACACCTCACATCATCAGGCCTGTGTGCTGCACCCACACACCCACCGCCAAAGTTCACCCGCTGAATACTGGGAGATGCTGCAGTGATAACCATATCATTAGCTGCTTCCTTAATTCCCCGCCAGCGTGCGTTTTATTTGCAGCGTCATTTCATTTAACAGGCCGGCGAGTGTTTGTAGTTGGAGCTCGCTGCCACAGCATTCGTGTGTGTGTGTGGCGACTGTTCAACAGACACAAATGCTACAAATTCATCAGAGCTAATCAGGAAACAATGCACTTTAAGTGACATGACAGACGCCACGCTGTGTCAGTGAAGCAGCTATGCAGCACCAGCTGTTCTCCAAGTCAGCACAAATCATAAAAACTTGACATAGCACATAGTTGTGTGTCACCACCTGAGAGGCTGCTTTTCACGCATCAGTCAAACTGTGCAACAGTTCCTGCACATCAGGCAAGAAAAGACCAGAGTGCTCCATCCATCACTGGTGTCCAAATCTGCCCTTCGCTGAGCTTTTCATAGCCACAGGCAGCCTCAGCCAAAAGTGAATGTGATAGATTTTCTGCTCTATTTATAGTGAAATGATGTGATGGGATCAACTGATGCAGCTTCCTGGGCTCAGGAGCTGCTCAACATGCGAGCTGGGAGCAGGTGAATGTGAACAATGGGCACCGGGCTGCTGTGTGCAGCTGGAGCTGAGAGGAACCTGCTGCTCCTGTCACACCCCTCCCACTCCCACTCCACGCCTGCACCACAGCAGCAAGCAGCAAGCAGCAGCAGCAGCAGTAGCAGCAGCAGCTCACGACTTCTCCACACTCCACCATCCATGATTTATGATCGTTATCCCAGTGCAAACACACAACCTGTCGCAGATGTTGCACATTCTCTGATAACTTAGAAAATCCCTGCAAAGCGGAGGCTTCCAGCGCAGCGACCCGGAGGCAGCACGCTGCAGGAGCAACGGCCGCTTCGCTGCTCCTCTCCCGGGCGGCAGATCACAGTCCAAACACAGCGTCACACACTTTGGAGAATATCCACGAAACAGACAAATTACACGGCCGACTGAGAGCATCAAAGCTGGCTTGACAGATGAGGGCAGCTGGCTAACAAGCTAGCATGCTAGCTAAATCAAAACAGCAGCGTTAAGGAGACTCGGAGCGGTATTTACCGTATGGTTGACACCCCACATTAAAACGCTGAGAATGGGCTCGCTTGCACGGAATAATTTCACTTTCTGTCCTATAAAATGCTTCTTTTTCGTCTTGGTTTTGCTGGCGCTGACAGGCGCTGCGCTGGTGCAGTTGGATGACATGTCTCGGGAATTCAGGTACGCAAGACGGCGCTCACTGGGCTTCACACAACGGAAACAGAAATCGGAAAGTTAAGAGCGGCTAAAAAAAACATCTACAAGTGCATCGTGCTCGTCGTCCGACTCGCAGCGGGTCTCTGGGCAGGATGGCCGTATCGTTGGGAGTCAGCGGTAGAGCATTTTGCGCCGTCACCACCCTTCCTCCTCCCGAGCAGGCCGCGGCGGAGTCCACGGAGCGGCTAGCCGGCCATCGGGCTACGGCGCAGCCTCTCTCGGTTAAACACGAGCCGGAGCGGTGAACCGTCGCCGAGCGGCTCCTCGTCTTTCCCCTGGACGCCTGTGACCCGAAACTGGAGCGCTGCCGTGCTACTCGGAGGTGAGTAATCCCGTCATGATGAGCCTCGGATTGTTGTCAGTCGCCTCCAACCAGCGCTGCGTTCGGGGTCTCCTCAAGATGGCGTCCGCGCTGCGCCTCGCAGTCAGCAGCGCCCCCAGCAGGCCGCCGGAGGAACCGCAGGGTCTCCCACATTTCAGCATCGAGTCCAGAGCAGCGTGGTTCCGTTTTTATTCTACCTGCTCAGGATTTAATTAAATACACAGCTTATTCAACATGCAACTCCTCGCAAACAAGTTCAGCTAAAAGACAGATAGTTGTATTTGGGTGAAGTTAACCTTTAGAACTATGACCTGTACTATTTGTGTAGAATAAACCCATTAAAACTACAAATACTTGCACATAAAACAGTGTTTTGGGTAAAAACAAACAAACAACAACAAAAGAACCTTTAAAACCACAAAGTGTGAGTTAAAAACAGTTGTTTGTAACTAACAAATGTTTGAAAAAAGCTTTAAAACCATAAGTAGTTCTACAGAAAGTAGCAAGGTGGGTGAAACTATAGCTTTAAAAGTAGTATTTGGGTTGAAAAACTACAACACTACAACAACAAGTGCTTACAAACCAATTAGTATTTTGGGTAAAATAAACCTTTAAACCCACAAAATGTTAGTTATAAACAACTGACTTAAAAAAAACAACAAACAAAAACTATAAAACCAGAAGTAATTCAACAGAAAGCAGCATTTTGGGTGAAAAAATAAAACCCTTATAACCATAATTTATGACTTTAAAAGTAGTATTTCGGTTGAAAAAAACTTTAAAAGCATAACTTATTAGTTTAAAAGTGGTATTTGAGGAGGTACCCAAAGGATGTACTTTGGGTGGAATAAACCTTTAAAACCAGAACTCATTCACTGGAAAATACAGTTGGACAGAATAAACATTTAGACTATAAGTACCGAAAATAATATTTATGTGGAATAAAGCTTGTTTAGTACTTAGAGACAAAGTAGTATTTTGGGTGAAATAAACCTGTAAAACCATAACGTGTTCTGTTTGGATGGAATAAACCTTTAGCGCTAGAAGAAATCAGGCAGAAAGTAGTATTTTGATGGAACAAACCTTTAAAACAGACCAAAAAAATGTTTGCTAGAGAGTACTATTTGCACAGAATAAACATTGAAAATTATAAATACTTGGACTCAACTTAGTATTTTGGGTGAAATGAGCCTTTAAAACCATAACTCATTAGTTTGAAAGTAGTATTTGGGTAGAGAGAAAACAAAAAGCTATGAAACTGTAAGTAGTTAGAAAGTCATATTTGCATGAAATTAACCTTTAAGAAAATAATTGGACACAGAGTAGTATATTGGGTGAAGTAAACCTTTAAAACAATAAGTCATTATTCAGAAAGTCGTGTTTGGGTGGATTAAAGATTTAAAAATATAGATGCTTTTATGGAAAGCAGTTTCTTTGATGGAATAAATCTTTAAAACTGTAGCTCGTCAGTTATAACGTACTGTTTGGGTGGAATGACCCTTTAAAACCATAAGTAGTTTGACAGAAATAGATAGTCTGGGTTTAATAAAACCTGAATTTGTGTACTTCTTATTTATAAAGTACTGTTTGCGTGGAGAAAACCTTTAAAACCAAAACTAAAGTGCTGTTTGTACGACTGCATAAACCTTCGAAACTACAAGATATTAGGCAAAATATACTATTTTGGGCGGAACAACCCTTTAAAACAACACTTTGTTAGTTAGAAAATACTATTTGCAGGGAATAAACATTTACAACTACAAGTACATTGACACAAAATAGTATTTTGAGTATAATAAACCTTTTAACCTTTAAGCAATTGGACAGAAAGCAGTATTTTGAGTATAATAAACATTTAAAACCATGTGTAGTTTGACAGAAAAATAAAAATGGCGGCACAATCCTTTAAAATCGTAACTTATGAGTTAGTGGTTTTTTGGGCGGAATAAACCTTTAAAACCATAAGTACTTTTTAAACCATAACTAATTACTCAAAAGCGCTATTAGTACGTAATAAACATTAAAAATCAAAAACAGGAATCCTTTCAGCCCCTCCTCCGATCCAGTAGGTGGCGCTGTCGTGGATAAACAACAGTCCTGGAAGTGGGGTCCTGAAACTGCAGCTTCTTCTTCTGCAAACACACAATCCTGAAATCTGCACATCAAACCCAGCGATTATTACCAACTTAATCTTCTCACTTGTTATATTTTTGCACGTTTTATTTTCCGACATAAACAATAGAATAGATCGAAAATCAGCCTGTGTACACTGGCGGCAGTGCAATATAGTGACACAATATTGTTGGAGACACATTAAAGGGCCCTTATGATGACGCTTTTTAACAAGTTAATTGAAGTCTCGCATGTCCCCAGAATGTATAATTCAGATTATACCTCAAAATACTGAACACACTGTTAGTTCTACTGTTGGTGTGGCTTCAGTCCTGTTTCAAATAGGTTGGAAATTATAACAAAATAAAGATTTGAACTCACTGTTCAAAAAAATTAAAGCAATCTATAAACATCTGTAAATACGTCTGACTGAAAACACAATCAGCTCTACACACTGTGGCTATTTGTCCTAAATCTCACTTAAACTCAGCTTCATCAAACCCGTAGTGTACAGCAGCCAAAAGAAGTCTGTTATATCTGTGCATTTTTGTATCTGATGCAAAAACCATATCGGAGCTTTCTGGTGCATGCTGGTCCTATAACCTACGCTGCACTTAAAACAATAATAATAATAATAAAAGGAACAATAAACTAATCAGAATAAAGGAAACTAAACTGATAAAGACATCCAAGTCAAACAAACAAACATCCCAAGAAACCAAAGCAACAAACTAATAAACAGCTGCTACAGAAGAATAAATAACCACAACAATGAGCCGATTTCTTTTCAACATAACACAACATATGTTCACATATTCAAATCTCCAGACACACTGGGGACAAAAACAATGTTCATTAACAAACTAGATGTTTTTGCATGTTACATCCCCTTTGAGCAAACAGTCTGGAGGTGAAACGTCTCATTTCCTGCATTCTGGGAAATCTTTCGGCACCGATTTGTACCTTCTCTGCAGCAGTTTAAGCTCTTTGAACACCTACAGAATCTCGCTGCAGATGTTGGTATCTTCAACACTGAACTGTGCCGGAGCAGAGCTGATGCTCACTGACACGACATATCACTGCTTCACCGCCCTGCAGACGCCCCCAGGATGCATTTCTAGTTTACAAAATACTATCCTTAAATATATAGACTTAAAAAAACAGTGAAATCTGTCACAATAGAGACCAAAGATTGATTTTTTCGTTTAGTTTTGCAGAGAACACGACCTCTGTGTGAGCGTCTGTTTATGCAAACGCACTCTTAAAATGAATCTCAGATCAGATTGTACCGTCAGCGGCCATCAACACCCCCTAAATGCACATTTTGCATTGAAGTAAATTAGAAATAAATGTGACAATATTCTCATTTCAATCAAATTTGATGAAAAAAAAAAAAACAGAAACCCCTGAAAGCCTGCACAGGTTCTGGTTTGACAACATTTGCACAAAGGATGTGAAATGCTTTCACACATCACCTTCAATAACATTGTTCTGCAGAATTACACCAATTTCAAATGCGTATTTATCCATATTTGTGTATTTAGAAAGAGATATATGAAGGGTTGAATCATGGCTGGACTTGTGTTCCAAAGAAAGAAACTCTTAGTCTTATCCACGACTGAAATCAAGTCGAGAAAAACTTCAGCAAAGCATTAGAATATGAAGCTACAATACAAATATGAAAAGTTTTAAAATTCCAGATACATGTTTTAACTCATTATGTGGAGCATCAGTGTGTGAGAACAGCTTTGTCACATCCAGGACGACAATAACAATATTGATGACACGTCTCTAAAAGACAACCTGCAGCTTATCAGAGGAGCTTAAAAAGATCCAGTTGCATTCTGGGAATTGTAGGACCCGGTGCTTTTGGAACTTGACCCACATTTCTACCTCTGTTGCTTTGAGTCGGACCATTTCTCACAAAGGAGGATACAGTACGCCCCCCCCTCGATAAAATAAATAAATAAATAAATAAGCACAGGACTTTTACTTTGAAAAGCTGCTGTAATGTTCCTCATTGAGGCAATAATGCAGATGCAGGTAGAAAAAACTGGTGCAGGAAATTAGGTGTCTGATGTGTATCTGTTTTAAAAGATGTGCTATCTTTAAAAAAAAAAAAGCACACCAGCCAAACTACACCAGTTACAAGAGCAGGAAACTGTTTGAACAGAGAGAATCATTGTGAACGATTCTATCCTTAAAATTAACCAAATCTGAGCTTAAAATTGTGATGCTTCATAAAAAATAAAAAAAAAGATTCTCCATGTGTCATTTTAAAATTGACCAAAAATAAACTAAACAAAAACAAAAACATGTTGTGCTCCTCAGTGCCGATGAGACGACATCAGCTGTGACCAACACAAGATTCTAAGAACTTTCAGATGAACTGCAGGCAGTGTTCCCACAGAACAAGAGAGGCTGAAAGGAAAATCCAACCTACTGGATCAATAAAATAAATGCAGCACGGCTCAGAAACAGTAAACAGAGGAGCACGTTGTTGAGGATACATCCAGCATGGTGAAACATCTCTCTATGACTGATCAGCCGAGTAAAGGTGCTTCGAGAAGCTCAAAATGTGTCCAAAATTACATAAGTGTGTGCAAAATGATTGGAAAAAAATATGAAAAATTACTCAAAAAATGTCAGAAATTGACAAATAACTTGCAGGAAATACCTCAAAAATCATCTAGATTAGGATTAACTTGAATAGAATATACCAAATTCTTCAAAACTTACAAAAAGGATCATGAGAGGACAAGAAACATACAGACTCAATAAAATAAATGTAGCACGGCTTAGAAACAGTGAGCAGAGGAGTTGGAAGATACA